AGTAAACCCCCCCGTCATGAATATATATACATTTTCAGATTCTCCTTGTATTCTTGAAGTTTTTGTTTTATGCAGTTGGCTGTTATGTTGTTAGTTGTATAAAGTTTTGTGACTGTTTTTATCTTCTTTGTGGGTTGCATCTTTTATTATCACATAATCTTCTTTCTCTTGTTTAACACGTTTGTCCTTGAATTTTGCTTTGTCTGACATTGCCACTTCTGCTTCTTTTTTGCCTACCTTTACATGGTCTGTTGCTGCCTACCACTTTATTTTTAGCCCTTTTTTTTTTTAAAAAAGTGCATTTTCTTTAAATAACATATAGCTAGATTTTATTTTTTAATCACATCTGACAGTCTCAGATTTTTAAATAAGGGAAATCATTCTGTTCACATTTATCGCGTTAATGAATATACTTAGGGTTTAATGCTTCTGGGTTATTTTGTGTTTGTTGGCTGTATCAATTAGACAAGATCTTGACCAGAAATAACAGAACAACTAATAGTTTCTTAATAAAATAATTCTTTTATATTTATATTACCTTATTTTGTTTCATAATTATAGAACTTCATTTTTTTGAAGTTCCTGATTTTTCTGAAATGACAAGAAATCTGGAGATGTACTGCAATGGGTGGTATTAATTTAGCTGCTCAACAAGGTCCTCATCCTTAGCATGTAGCTTTTATCTTCATGGTTACAAAAATCTTCCAGCAGCTCTGGGCATGTCTTCCTCATTCCTGGCAGGAAGAAGTAGGTGGGATAAAAGAGCAAAGCGTGAAGGGTTTTCTCCTAAGAAGTCTTCACCTTTTCTTTGGAGAGGTAGAGCCCTTCACTAAGATCACTGCTTACACCCACATTTTCATAAACGGGGACATCTGGTCATTTCTAGATTGATCACTTGCCAATGAGAATAATGTCACGTGATGGGTTTAGATCCACTGTTATCTGCCCTCACCTTTCCTGAAAGTGAAGGATCTCTGCTACCGCCTGAACGACTTGGGATTCTGTGGCAAGTGAGGAAGGTGGGCTGGGATGGGTGGTGAGCAGGTTGCTGACCATGTCTGCTGTAATGGTTACACACTTTTTGTTGTTTTTTCTTTTTCCTTTACTTATGTTTTCAGGATTGGTAAGTCTTATCATTTACTTTCCCCTGCTGTTAATTTGAAGATTTTATAATTCTAACACTGGTTGCCTCCCTGTTTCTATCAGTCGTAATTAAACCTGTGTTTCTCTATTACTATTTTGCTTTTAACCTACTAAAAGTAACAATGCCCTCCTATATTAGGAGAATTATTGCTGCCTCGTGCAATAGATAAACCCTGAAATTTCAGTAGGTTAATACTGAAATTAACGAAGGTGTGTTATTTGGCTACCCCGCTGTGTGGTGTGGGTTGGATAGCTCTTCTGCGTGCCTTGCTTTCAAACACTGACGCATGCATCAGGCTGCTTTTGTCTTGAAATTCCACCATCTTGGAGTCATTTATTTCCAGCTGGGTGGATGAGACAGAGAATATGGAAAAGACACACCAACTACTAAAAGGCTCAGCCTGAAAGTGGCGCAAATCACTGCCCCTAACATTCCGTAGACTAGACTTCAGTCATCTGGTCCCACGGAACTGAAGGAAAGCTGAGGAATGTAGTCATCTGTGGGCTCAGGAAGAGGAAA